CCCCCCACCTCCCACCCCACGTGAGCAGATTTGGGTTTGCTTGTTCAGCATCTACCGTCAGCTCCCTGACATCAAGGACCACGTCTGTCTTGCTCCAGCCAAGCAGGGAGCCTGGCCCACCGCTGAGGAATGCTCCAGGGGTTACTCCCTTTAAGTAACCCACCCGCAACAGGGAGGCTGCCCGTACCCAACCCACGCTCTCCGGGACTCAGGTCTTATCAGTCTGATCCAGTGCAAGTCTGGGTACACGGAAACTAGCCCACACGGTCCCCAGGGAGCTCACATGTACCTTCTAGGACAGACTAGCCTCAGGGCACCAGTGCCTCTTTGGATTTCTTTCCTGGGACTTCTCTGACCTCACAGGAGCCCTCAATCCCTGGGGACCCTCAACCGAGGGGCAGGGAACTCCATGGATCAATGCTCCCCCCTCCTGTCTCCCAAACTCAGAAATGGGGGAAATGCTTGGAGGTGTCTGGAGGAGCCCTGCCCCTCTTTCTCTGTTTGTCCTAAGATTCCTGGGTCACGTTTGGTTTCATAGGGAAGCTACAACAGGTCCCCTGGGATGGATCGGGTGGGGGGGAGCTGCCCTGCTGGGACAACCTGTGGGAGGGGCTGGCTGTGCACAGACTCTCGCTGAGCCGGATGCAGGCAGAGGCGCCACACTGGCTAAGAAGTGGAAACTGCCTGGTGTGTATGGCTGAGGAATGGATAAGCAAACGGTGGAATATGACTTGGCCATGAAAATGAACAGGTAGGTGAGCTCCAGGACACTGTGAGAGCTGTCACAAAGGACCAGCATCGTGGGATCCATTTATGTGAACCGTCCGGAGCAGGCAGACACAGCAGGGAGACTCCTGGTTGCAGGGGCTGAGGGAGGGCTGAGGGGGTGGGGTGGCTGGTAACAGGTGCAGGGTTCTGGGGCAGATGAAATGGTCGAAAATCAACGGTGGTGATGGTCGCACAGCTCTGTGAACATACCACACCCCTGGCTCTTACACTTCAGGTGGGTGAAATGCATGCTATGTGAGTTCTATCTCAATAAAGCTGTTGTTTAAAAAACAACAGAGAAGTCCCAAGTGCGGAGAGATGGCAGGAGCAGAGCCCACACCCACTCTGCTCCACAGGCCCCTCCTACCAGCTCCGCACAGCTGGTGATGGGGCTGCTGCATGCGGGGTGGGTGGTGTTTGAACCAGGTCAGAGCTCCTGACAAGGAGACCTCCGCTCCTCGCACGGCCCTCCAGCCTTGCCCCCTCCCTCCCTGCTTCCTGCCCTGCTCCACACAGACTCTCCCAGGCAGACCCCCACAGCCCTGCCTCTGGCTCCGGCCTCAGCCCACCCCCACCCGGCAATTCACATCTTTTCCCCAATCTCCATCCTGCATCCGTGTCCCTGGAAACCTCAGCCAGGCCTCGGTTGCTAGGAGAATGGAATGAGAGAGCCTAGGCAAAGGTGAGGGGGGCACCCCGGGAAGCATCTGAAAGCAGCCCCCAGTGGAGCCTGCCGCGCCATATGGTGCTCAGACGCTGGAGAGAGGGCGCTAAACCACATCCCGATGAACAGCTGACAGCAAAATCGCTGCTCTAGATCTTTCAAAATATTGGGTGTGCAAGGAAAAATGTGAGAATTTCTTATAAATGGCTTGCTAAGCCCCAGAAGTGATACCATCAACTCATTTATAAGCAAGAGAAACGGAAATGTTTCAAGATTTTTTTCCAAACTGTTTCTCAAAGAAAATACAAGATGAAGAACAGAAACAGGCGCCAGTTGGCGGCTAAGGGAAGAAAACACTCAGGGCAGGGAGCTGAGATACTGTCGCTCCTGAACCACCTCCCCTGCCAACTCGACTTTGCTCTGGGGTGGTTCTGCTATTGGTGTGCTGGGTAGGTTTTTAGGAGAGAGGCGCATCTTTCCTAAAATAAACAATGGAAGAATGGAGTCAGCTGCCACCTGCTAGGAGCCGGGAAAACCCGGAAGGCAAGGAGCAGAGCCCACACTCTCCGGTACGGCACCCTGGGGACCCCACCTAGCAGAGCCCTTTACAGCCCCACCAGACATGCTTCCCCCTTCCTCTTCCCCCTCCCCCTCCCCCCTCACCTGTGCCGTCCCTTCTAGCTGGACCGCCCTCCCCTTCACCTGGCGCCCCCCCACACATTCTTCAAGATCCTTTCAGACATCGCGCCTGAAAGAGGGTGTCTGACTCTGCCCCGCCTAGGGCTGTCGGAAGCCCCCCAGCCGGACTGCACAGAGCCCACCCCCAGTCCATGACTGTCAGACACTCTGCCCCACACCCCCACCACGCAGCCCCTGCACACCTTCCAGCCCCTGCCTCCACGCCTCCAGAGGCAGGATGCTTCCTCTCCGAGGCCCCTGGGACAGAGATCTGCTGGGGACATGGACCACTCTGGGTGACCTGGCACGGCAATTTCCTGCGGGGGTTTTACATGTGGAGGGACAGGTGCTGAATTCCCACTCTGCTGCTGCTGCTGGCTGCCAGTGGGGGCCGGTTCCCCAGTTCTACAGCAAGTCACACCTCACTGAACCCAGATTCCAACACACGCGCCGTCTCCAGAAGACAGCCCATCACATCCTGGAACAAGCCTTCACCCCTCTCTCCTGCCAGGGAGGCCACAGTCTCCCACGGGAGCAGGGAGTCGCCACGCTCGCCAACACGGAGCTGAGCTTACCTGAAATCCGAAGCAGATGGTGGGGAAGACACTAAACACAGAGGTCCAGGAGGAAGGGCTGCAAACAGACAAGAGCAGGTGTTCATTACAAAAGGCTAACTTCACAGCCACGCTCAATTTGAAGACGAGTTTTAAAGACCAGAAAGGTGTCACTGAGCACGGCTGTAAAATGTATTTTTAATTATTGCGTCCACTCCCAGGTTTGGGAGATGGGAAGGGTAGGCATGCTCTGTGTTGCACTCTCTAATTACATTTGAGCTGACACTTTGGTAACTTGACATTCTCTGGGTGGGCAGAGCTTGGAAAGGGCCCGGCGAGCAGGAACTCCCAGCCTCCCTCTGAGGCTGCCTCCTCCTGTGAGGTTAGGGCTGGGGAGCTCAGGCAGCCTCCATTCAAACAGACCCCAGCAGGTGCAGGGATGGTTTGACCTCTGCCCAAGCTCCATAAAGGACAGAGGTGTGCATGGAAATTTTCAGGACGGTGGCCCTCAAGCTTCCTTTGGCAAGTAGCTGTAGGTGCCAGCAACCAGCACCTTTAGGGACATATAGTGAAATGGGGTGTAAATAACACCTGCTACAGAATCAGGGTTTCCTGGTTGTGCCAGAATAATGGCCCCCAAAGAGGCCCATGTCCGAATCCCAGCAACCTGGGAATAAGTGAGCGGACAGGTGTGCGTCGGGGTAAGGACCCGGGTGGGAGGTGACCCTGGTTATCTAGGCCCAATGTGTCGCATGAATCCCTGAGATGAGAACCTTTCCTGGGGGTGGGCGGAGGGGGCTGTGACTCCGGAGATAGGGTCAGAGAAGGAATGCTGCTGGCTTTACAGACGGAGGCAGGGCCATGAGCCACGGAGAGCGAGTGTCCCCTAGAAGCTGGGAAAGGCCAGGAAACAGATTCTCGCCCAGAGCCTCCAAGAGGAACACAGCCCTGCCAACACCTTGACTGTAGCCCCGCGAGGCCCATTTGGGACTTCTGGCCTCCAGAGATGAGAGAGAGTACATCTGTGCTGTGTAAGCCCCCGGTGGGTGGTAGTTTGTCACAGCAGCCACGGGACACGTGCACAGTGCTGACTCCTGCTTGTGCTGCACACGCTGACTTAACTCTGAAGGCCGCTCATGGCGCCGCCCCACCGGGCCGGGCTTCCCACACTTCCCTCAACTGCCCTGTCCCTGGTGCCAGACTTCCTGTAACCACCAGAGTGCCCATGTAGGCACGGCCCCATCTGCCTGCCTGCATCCCCTGGGCCCACATGTGCAGGCCCCTTGGCCCCGGGAAAGAGACCCCAGAGCACAGGACCTCCCCTCCCCCTGACTCGAGGCTGCAGATGAGCAGTGAGCCTGGCCCTCTCCTCATTGGTTCTTCCTTCGCTAAGAGGTCCGTCAGCATAAATAGGGGCTGGGGCCTCTGTCCCTCATGACTCCCGCCCATTCCTCTCCCCTCCTCAGAAGAGCTCTTTCCTGCCTCCTCCCTTCTCTCCTGAACCCAGTCCACCTGGGCCTTCACTGCCTCTCCTGCCCTGACCAAGTACCACCACCAGCAGCCTCCAAATCCACGCCCAGGGCTCAGCCCATTGTAACCAGGAGCAACATTTGGCAATGATCACGCCAACTTCCTGAAATTTTGTTCACCGACATCTGCGACCCACCTACTATTGTCCTCTATCCTGGTTGAGTAGTGTCCCCCCGAATTTACATCCACTGGGAACCTCAGAGGGATGCCTCATTTGGGAATGGGTCTCTGTAGATGTGGTTAGTTAATTAAGATGGGGTCACACAGGAGTAGGTTGGGAGCTGGTGCAATGACGGGTGTCCTTACAGGAAGGGAACAGACACCCAGGGAGAGGCCGCGTGACGACGGAGGCAGAGACTGGAGCGAGGCATCCACCTTCCAGCCAGGGACCACTGGCAGCCCCGGGAGCTGGACGAGGCGGGCAGGGCCTCCCCTGGAGCCTCCAGAGGAAGCCTGGCCTCCCCGCCTTGATTTTGGACTCCTGGCTTCCAGAACTGAGAGAGGATAAGCTGTTTTTGTGTGAAGCCACCAGGTTTGTGGTCATTTGTGGTCATTGTTAGCTCCAGAACGCTAACACATGCGACTCCCACCCCTCCACAGCTCCTCCTCCTCCCCTGACCTCCCAGTGCCGGACAGAGCACTGTGGGTTCTGAGTGTACCACCTGCCCAGTCCCGGGCCTTCAATGCCATCTCTGGGCGGACACCAGCCACGTTTCTCCCTCCAGCCCAGCTTCTCTCTCCCTGAATCCAGACACAGGTCTGACAAGCTCCCTGTACCTTCATTTGGGCATTCAAAGCCGATCCCAACTTCACACCCCCTCTTTCTCCCCCAGCCACCTGCTCCTCTCGCCTCCTCCCCCCTAGGAAACAGCACCACCACCTTCCTGGTGCTCAGGCCAGAGCTCAGAGCCACCCTGGACTCCGCTCTCTCATGCTCCACTTCCAATCCGTCGGCCAGGAGGGGCCACATAATTTGTGGGGCCCAGTGCAAAATGAACATGGCGGACCCCTGTTCGACAACCATTAAGAACATTGGGATGGCCCTAGCCAGTTTGGCTCAGTGGATAGAGCGTCGGCCTGCGGACTGAAAGGTCCCAGGTTCGATTCCAGTCAAGGGCATGTACTTTGGTTGTGCGCACATCCCCAGTGTGGGGTGTGCAGGAGGCAGCTGATCCATGTTTCTCTCTCATTGATGTTTTTGACTCTCTATCTCTCTCCCTTCTTCTCTGTAAAAAATCAATAAAATAAAAAAACATTAAATAAAACAAAAGAACACTGGGATGGTGGCAACAGGGCATTAAACCGAGTGCAAGGTCCTTCTGTACGCAGCCCTGGTAAGTTCATAGGTCACATGCCTACGGAGCTGGCCTGTCACCCGAAGATCTAATTTCAAGCCCCTGCTGTGCTCACACCCTGAAGCAGCTGCCCAGCAAAACCCTTCCTCAGTGAGGCTCCGCGTCCCCACAGGACACCCGCCCCCTCCTGGTCTTGCTCAGGCCGGTGGGGTCACACTCGCCTCTGTCACTCCTGCTCCCTCTGCCCAGGCGTTGGCATCTCGCCGGCCGGTTCCACCGGCTCCAGGCTGTGGGGACACTGCTGAGAAAGCCCAGGAGCCAGGGTGGAGGGGCTTAGAGCTGTGTTCCTTGGCCTGTCCCTGGTTCTACTACCCACAGCTGTGTCCATTCTTGGGGGACAGGGGCCTTTGCTGGGACCTCAGGCATCAGAGACACCAGGCGTTTTGCTGAGAGGAGCGGGGCTCTGTGCAAACAGTGGGGAAAAGTGTCCTTCCTACAGGATCCCCTGCAGCACCCCAGAAGCCAGGGAAGGCCATCCCCTCGGACTCACCTCAGCGCAGGACGGGGCTCAGGAGCAAGGTCCTGGGGCCTCAGGTAGTACTGCGCCACGATGACCAGGGCCAGGTAGCAGGCGGCCAGGGTGCCTAGGAAGCTAACACACAGATGATGCATGACCACAAACACAGAGGGGGTCTGAATGCCGGCTCTGCCCACACGGGCAAGGTGCCAGGCAGTTCTCAGGGCTCCGTGCCTTGGGTCCCTCATCTGCAAGCGGGGATGTGGGAGATCTTTCAGGCAGGACTGTGCTCAGGCCCAGGGTCAGATTGGGCCAGTTCCTAACTGGCCGCACCTGCGAGGCTGTGGTGACCACCGGCACCATCTCTCCAACGGCCACTCAGCCTCGGATGTGGCAGCTAAGCCAGGACACCTGCTGTGGGGAGGAGGACCCCTGACTCAGTGGGGCGGGACGGGAGACTGGAGGGCTGGGGGCACCTAGGGGCTCTCGTCCCCTACCCCCTGTTTCTCCGTTTCCAAGATAAGACGTCCATTGCTGCTCTGAACACAACAGGGAAACACAAGTTGCAAATTTGCATGAATACTTTTGCCAGACTCTTTTCCTTCAAAAATATGCATAAAGCCACAGCCCACAGTATGAAAAATAGTCTGTGTATGTCTGCCTCTGCCTGTGAGTGCGCACGCGTGGGCAAATGAAGTCTGTAATAGTTAAAGAAAACAGCAGCAGCAGGTTATGCGTTATGATAGTTTTCTCTTTTGCTTCTCTCTATTTCCTATCACACACACATGTTACTTGTGTGATTTTTAATGTTTTCCCCCTTCTCCAAATGGGAAGGCCAACGCTAACAGCTCCCCTAGCAGAGGCGGACCGAGCCCCCCTCCCTGCCCCCCCAAATACCAACCCAGGGCAGTGGGGACCCAGTCAAAGCCGCTGCCCTGCCAGGAAGCCTGCAGCCCCGTACCTCGTGACTTTCTGGAACCTGATCTCCCTCGGGGCGGACAGGGGCAGGATGACCAGCATGGAGAGCAGGGTCAAGGTGAAGCGCTGGTCAGCGTACCAGGGCTGCAGGGCAGGCAGGAGGAAGTCACACACTGGTGGGAAGGCGGAGGAAGGGGGCCGCAGTGAGCCCATGGCTCTCACCCAGCAGTCAGAGTCCTGCCCGGGGGCGCCCCCGCTCTCCATCCCTGGCCGGGGTTGCCATGGACACTGTCAGCCCTGTGAGTCTAAAGGGATGGGACAAGCGTGATGGGGACCCCATCATGTGCCACCACGAAGGAAGGATCTGGCTGCAGAAACTCATTCAACAGACGCTCACTGGGCTCCTCCCAGCCAGGCACTGCTCCCCGTGCTCGAATCCAGCCACAGGTGAGACAAAGGACCTACCCTGAGGCACCTGGGCCCTTATGTGCTTGTAACACAGCGGTTCTCAACCTGTGGGTTGTGACCCCTTTGGTGGTCGAACGATCCTTTCACAGGGGTCGCCTAATATCAGATATTTATATTTAGATATTTACATGACGATTCATAACAGTAGCATCATTACAGTTATGAAGTAGCAACGAAAATAATTGTATGGTTGGGTCACAACATGAGGAACTGTATTTAAAGGGCCAGAAGGTTGAGAACCACTGTTGTACCAGATCCTTCTGTTTCTGCTTGAGAGCTCAGGGGGGCATGGGTCTAGCAGGGGCCAGGGTGGCTTTTTGGTGCTGGGCAAAGCCGTGTTCTCTGTCACCACTGCACAACAAACTACCCAGCATGGCCTGGCGCGTCCACTTGATTATCTGCCATGAGCAGGATGTGAAGAAGGAGATAGGGCTGAGCTGGCTACTTCTGCTCCATGTGGGACCCATGGGGGTCACTTGAGGGTATTTGGCTGGTGGGAGGGCTGGTCTGGAGGGTTCTCGGTGGCTCTCCCCACATCAGGTGCCTGGTGGGGGCACCGTGGCTCAGCTGGGCCTTCCCTGCAGTTTTGGGGCCTCTCCACATGGACCCCCTTGTCCAGTGATGGCGAACCTTTTGAGCTCGGCGTGTCAGCATTTTGAAAAACCCTAACTTTCCCCCCCCCCCTTCCCCCCAGTACCTAACCAGAAACACACACAATGCCCTCTCCTCCCGTCAACCCCCCCAGAACCAGGCGGCCTGTATCTAATCAACTCTAATCACTCTGGCTCCACCGCTGACCCTGCACGCGGCTTCAGAACCCTCCTCACACGGCAGTACGGCCCGGCGAGCCGAGGTGAAGCTGACGTGGTCTCGACTTGCCACTTGCAAGCAGGGCGTTTTATGCTCATTTACCCACCATAGGCTCAGATCTACCAACCTCAATGCTGCCCCAAACATAGAAGCCTCTAATCGCAGCACCCCAGAGCCAGGGGCCTTTTTATTCACGGCTAAAGTGACGGAGAGAGCAAACCAAAGAAACATCAAAATGTCGGAGCAAAATCTAACCATATCAGTAATTACATTCCAATTAGAAGTCTGTCTGAGATCATCAAGATGATTTTTAAAATAACCACGACCCGACCATGTGCTACCTACGAGAAATGCACTGGGAAGCCCATGTCAGTTTGGTTCACAGAGAATGAACAGGAAGAGAAACACTGCATAGCCACTAATCTGAAGGCAGCTGGAGCGCCCACTTTTACAGTAGAGGAGGGTGATTTAGCGACCAAGTATCACCAGAGACAAAAGCGGGTATTTCATAACAATAAAAGGGTAGTTGGTGGTGGGTGCCTATGACGGAGCTTCCAGGACCATGAGGTGAAACTGGACAGTTAAAAATGAGAAACATAAAATCTTCAACTGTGATTGCAGGCTTAACACCCTCGCTCAGGCGAATAGAATAACTAGACCCAAAACGTCAGCAAGGCTATGAAGACCTGCTCAAAGCTGTGGAGAACCTTGACCGGATGGAGAGTTCCAGAACACTGCACCCCACGCAAAATGCCCACCATCACAGAACATGTGGGGGCCCACAGGGCAGTCTCAAAGACCAAAAAAACGGAAATCACCAAGTGTGTTGTCTGACCACAATGCAATGAAGATAGAACCCAAAAAGGGATCTCAAAAAAGTCCCGAATAATTAGAAATCAAACCACACAACGTTAAACACCCTGTGAGTCAAAGTTTAACAAACTTAACAAACGTTTTGAATGGGACAAAAATGAAAATAGATATCAAAATTGATGGGGATGCTACTAAAGCCGTGCTCAGAGGGAAATCGTTAGTGGGGAACTAGAGGCCCAAGTGCAGGGAGTTTAGTCTCCAACGTCCCAAAACGCAAGGTGTGATTGGTTCTCTCCCACAGGGGCTTCTCTGCAGTGGATCCCACTAGACAGCCAGCCACAGCCTGTCCCTGTCCCCCCCAACCCCCCCACCCCCAGGACTCTCCTTGTGCTGGTAATTACTAATTCCAAGTCTCCCATCTCCAGGACGTTAGGAGCTCAGGGGTGGTCTCGGTTTCTGCTGTCCCCCAGGGTCCCGCTCAGTGTCCACGTCCTGTTCCAAACCAGGAGCCCCAGGGGGCATAAGGAGCACCGAACCCTGAGGCCACCCACCTCCAGTGCAAGTACTCACGCTTCTCCAGCTGGTCCCCGATCACCCTGAGGAAGGCCACGGAGATCATGAGCAGGTTGATGATGAAGCAGGCCTCGCACAGCTTCCCGATGGCAGGTCCGCACAGCCCTCGAACCACGCCCTGGTAGGTGGTCTGGCCACTGACGGAGGCGGCATAGCCCAGGATGACCAGCCCACTGATCAGGAAGACCAAGGAGACCTGCAGAGCAGGACTGTGGGCCAGGGTGCTCCCAAAGGCCACCACCCAGCCAGCTGCCCCTGGGGACTTGGATATGGCTCCCTCCACTGGGCCTCTCACCTGTAGAAGTCATGCTGCCTATGGCCCGGGGCCCCTCCCCTGCCCTGAAACTAGAGCTGCAGGGCAGGTGGACTGTTGAGGCCTTGCTGGTAGTCAGTCTGGGATTCACACTACTCTGCCCAGATGGACAAATGAGGACTCAGAAACCCAGATGGTGCTAAAACTGCACGGGCTACATGTATACAAGGGTTATCACCTGAAGAGGCACAACAAATGCACCTCTGTCAAGACACAGAACACTCTACCACCCTGACGTGCCCTCCTGGCCCATCCTAGTCACTCTATGCCCCAATCCTGTCCCCAGAAACCACTGGTCTAATATTTTTCTACTTTTACATATTTTGGTATCTGGTTTCTTCCTCGGTGTCGTGCTTGTGCGATCCAGCCACACTGGTGATCACGTGTTACTCCTGTTTTTGCCGAGGGCCACCCCCTGTGTGGATGCAGTCACAGTTGCTTCCTCCGGCCTGCTGCTGACAGGCACCTGGTGGTTCTTAGTTTCTGGCTACTGTGAATAAAGCGCTGAGCACCCAGAACAAGTCCTTGTGAGGACCTGTGTTTTGTCTTCCTGGACATGCCCTCAGGAGAATTGCTGGGTCATAGATTAGACCCGTTTTTAACTAAGAAATTGCCAAACTGCTTTCCCAAGTGCCTGTGCCACTGGACACCCGCATCGGTGCATGGGAGCCCCACTTGCTGCATGGAGCTAAATGGTTCTGAGCCTCTGCAGGACCGGTGATTACCTGCCCCAAACTGAACTTGGTCTCCAGGCCTCCACACCCCTGCCCCGGGTTCTAGGGAAGAATGCTGAGCTGGGACACGCTCAGACAGCGCACGGCCCTGACCAGCACACTCTGTGACTCCAGACGCCACAACACAGCTGCAGGGGAGGAACATCTAATTGGACTGTGGGAGAGGAGCTTGGAACTCCCGAGTTGGGAGGAACACATGGCTCCCTTCGGTCCCTGAACCTTTGCCCATGCCAGTTCCTCTGCCTGGAACGCCCTTCCGCCTCCACCACTTCCCCTCACCTGGTGAACGCCTAATCTTCCCCCTCCTCTCCAAGGCCATTTCCTCCAGAAAGCCTTCCTGACACTTCACCCTCAGGTGGACTCAGCCCCTCATCTCCGGCTCTCATAGAACTATGCCTTCTTGGGTACACTGCCTGCCGTGGGCAGAATGGTGGTCCCCAAAAGACAAGCCCACAACCTCACCTCCACCACCGGTGCAGGTGACTTACTGGGCAGTCTCTGCAGATGTAATTAAATAAAAAGGGATCTTTGCAGGTGTAATTAAGGACCTTGAGATGGGTCATCCTGGACCCTCTGGGTGACCCTGAAATCCAATGACAAGTGCCTTAGACGAGACAGAAGACATAAAAAGGAGGCTCTGTGATGATGGAACAGAGGCTGGGGTGATGTGGCCACAAGCCAAGGGATGCCTGGGGCCACCAGGAGCTGGAAGAGGCAGGAAGGAGGGAGCAGGGCCCTGCTGACAGACTGCTTTCACACTTCTGTGTCCAGGACTGTGAGAGGACACATTTCTGCTGTTTTAATCCACTCAGTTTGTGGTCCTTGGTCTAGTAGCCCAAGGACATATGCTTACAACATACACGACAGGGTCTCCAACATCTCTCACCCAGAGCCCCTCAGCTCTGTGAACACTGGGCTTGTGGCATTTTCTGCTCACCATTTAGTCCCCAGAGAGCTGCCTGACACATAGCAGCAAGATAGGTACTTGAGGATGAAGGGAAGCGGGGTGGGGACTAAGGGATCCTCTGCCAGTGAGGCATTCGCGAGAGGGACCCTGACAGACAGCAAAGAGCCCTTATTGCTCATGCCCAGGCTCCGCCTCTGCAACTTCTAACTGCGGGTCAGGTTCATTCGGTCTTAGTAATCCTCCAATGCTAACGGGTCCTGAGAGACCTACCACCTCGCACCACTGACCTCCTGGTGGTGGGAATGTTTAAATGTGCCCCAAGTCCAAATTGGCCCCTTGCAAAGGGGACAGAGCAGAAGTCTCCCAAGAGGAGGGGAGAGGCGGGGAGGGGCAGTGGGCCCATTACCAGCTGATTCCTTCGCTTGTCCAGGGTTTCAATTCATTCACATCTTTAGACCACACTGTACAATGTGCAAGCCACACTCGCAGCCTCCACGTCACCAGGAGCTCCTCAGGATGCACAGCCTCAGCCCTGCCCAGCCCTGCTGAGTCAGCATCTGCATTTCAGCAAGGGGCCCAGGAGCGCTGCAGGGGTGTGAGGAGTGGGGGCGACAGCTCTGCTTCCCAGCCCTGCCTGCCACCCTGAGCTGGACACCTCTGTGCCCAACCATGCCCCCTGCATTCACTCCTCATTGTCTGAAAGGGCAGCCTTTTGTTTTGTTAATCCTCACCCTAAGATATTGTTTTCCATTGTTGTTTTTTCAGGGAGAGTGGAAGAGGAGGGAGGGAAGGAGGGAAGGGGGTGAGGAAAGTGAAAGAGAGACAAAGAGAGAGAGAGAGAGAGAGAGAGAGAGAGAGAAACATTGATTGGTTACCTCATGCACCGGCCCCAACCAGGTTGGGGATAGAACCTGCAATCCAGGTACCTGCCCTTGACCGAGAATCGAACCCATGACCCTTCGGTACAAAGGCTGATGCTCTAACCACTGAGACCACTGGCCAGAGCTGAAAGGGCAGCCTTCCTGTTGCACTCCTCCAAACACAGCTATGGTGCACCTCTCATGCACCTGGACAAGTCCTTCCATTTCCACTGGGCACAGTGCAACGTCACCCCCTCAGAGTCCTCCGACCACCTGTTATGTTGCCCCACCCTCTGTCATGTGACCCTCCGAACACTACCCAAGGGGAAGGGAGGGCCTACACACAAAACGGGGACTGCCGGAGACCAATTCCAGCATGTCATAATTTCAAGAGTTTCATCAAAAAGTTGATGAGACTTGGGGACTCAGCAGGGTTGAGTCACACATGTAGTCACCTGTTGGGAATGGCTAAAAGCATTTCCCCAAACCTGAATAGGAAATTGACTGTGGCTGCCAGACACTCAAAGGTCATCTTAATCTACATGTTATTGCCTCCTACTAGCCAAACACCTGAACAGCCGTAGGCTAATTCCCTCATTCTGACAATGTTTCTGTATACCCTTTGCAGTGTGTATCTCTGCCTCACCTCAGGACCAGTTGTGTTAATAAAAAGCATGGGGTCCTGGGGATGAGGAGAGAACCTAAGACCTTAGACTTAAGACCTTGGAACTTAGCTCCTTTAGCTAAGCTCCTCTGACCCCCAATGCTTTTCTAAATTATATCTCATCTCCGGACTCTTTATTAGTCTCTGGATTCCTATTTAACATCTACACACAGCCTTCTCCAAGTTCCTGAACCCTTCTCGATGCTGGGACAAGAACCCCGGCACCGGACCATTAAGAACAGGACCGTTATCAGCTGGCTGCCATGGAAAAGCATGTGGGCTGCCTGTCAAAGGGCGTACCACGGAACACGGCTCCTGGCAGCCAGAGAATCACTGCAAACAAATGAAAGCTGCGCTAATCAGTGCCTCTTCTCTGCTACAGCCGCTCAGCCCTGACCGCCTGGAAAGGGAGCTCAGCTGGAAGGCAGGCCCTGGAAGTGGCTGCCGGCCTCTGACACGGCAGTGGGCCTGGCCCAGCTCCCATGGGGGTGTCCCAGCCAGTCCTGGTCCTGACCCGATCTGAACGTGGACCTGAGACCAGCGGGCAAGTGAGGTCAACTGGCCAGGCGATTGCTCAGAGACCGAGTGTTCTCCGCGCTTTCCCAGCAGAGATGTCAGGTTCATTGGATCCAGGTGTTGTGCCTGGCAGCAGCCTGGGCGGGTAGAGGCTGTTGTGTGCCCAGGTACAGTTATCTTCTCCCCTCATGAGCTCAGCGAGCAGAAAACCAAACCCCACAGATGTACATAGTTTCTAAGACAGGCAGCTCCCCCCTGGATCCTGCCCGGGAGACACCCCCAATCACTTCCCAGGGGCTTACCAGCTCTACCAGGAAGGCGGGGGCCACCCCACCGGCCTTGTAGAAGGCCCAGGGGAAGTTGAGCAGGCCGGCCCCCAGCGCAGATTTCAGGAGGATGAAGGCAGCGCTCAGTGAGGACAGACCGGGGCTGGCAGTCCCAGGCTTTTCCAAAAGGCCTCTGCTTCCAGGGGTCTGTCCCTCCATGGCTAGAAGCAGCAGAAGGGTGGAGAGGAGACAGTCTTCGCACTTCCTTCCCCGTTCATAGCCGGTATCACTCTCTGGCTGCGAAAGGCCTCTCCCCAGTTGTCCCAGCTACATCTCCCTCTTCCTGCACCTCTGCTGCCCCTTTTCCTTGCTCACTCACTGGCCCATCACTTCTCTTCCTCACTGCTTTCCCCCTCCCCCCCTAGCTTTCTACCAGCTTATCCTCACTCCTGCTCTCAAACTAAAACGAAGGACCCCATCACAGCCCTCGGCTCCCTCCCCCATATCCCCACCTCTCTGACAGCCCTAGTCCTTACCACCAAGTGCAAACTTCAAGGTGAGAGACAGTCTTTGGCCACCTTGGACTCGGACGGACAGTCGGACGGACGGGAACTCAGGCCCACTCCAGGTGGTTCCGCTGCATTTCTTGGGCCCAGACGGGTGGAAGAAGGAAGAGTCCAGCTCGGCAAGGGTGGGTCATGAGTGAGTCGTGAACTAAGGGAGCCCTAAAGAGCATGTGTTTGGGTCATGTCCCAAAACCTAGGGGAGCAGAGACTTGAAGTCAGGGCCATCTGTCCCAAGAACTTGCAGCTTCTGAGACTTCTGGCCTGAGGAAGTCTGAAGGCTCCCTCCCCTCCTCCCTGTAGGCGGGGCTTTACCCATCTGCGGAGTGGGAGAGGGAGCTCAGCTGGGTGGAATCAAGGAAGGGGCACACGTGACCTCACGACCTCACGCAGTGATCTGGGTCAGTTTCTCCAGTGCCTCCTCCCTCCATGCCTGAGACCCCCAGTATGAGGGGGGGAGGAAAGAGCTTGGAGCGCAGCATGTGTCACCTGTTAGCAGTGATCTCCCCAAGCCCACCTGCACAGGGGGTCTGTGTGCCTGCCTCACAGGGGGTGCAGGAAGCGGTAGACGGAGGCAGGCAGCGGCCCAGGTGGGCAGCAGGTACACCGTGGAGATCTCCATTGACCGTGCACAGAATCACCTGGGGTTCCTGTTAAAACGAAGATTCCTATTCATCCCATCTTGAGAGGAGTTGAGAATCACATTTCTCACAAGCTCCGGGAGGCAGGTGCTGCTGGTCCCGGGCCACCCTTTGAGTAGAGATCACCAATCTGACCCCACACATTGTCAACTAAGCTGGCAGAGAATAAAAAATGGTCCTGTTCCAGAAAATGCAGGCCTAGGAGAGTCAGATCTTGAATTCAGATGTGACTGTTTATCCCCGGTACCCAAGGCTCAAAACCCTGGGTGAGGGTGTGTTAAACACAGATTGTGGGGGCCCATCCCTAGCGTTTCTGATTCAGTGGGTCTGAGAATCGCCTTTGCTAACCAGCTCCCAGATGGTGTTGATGCTGCTGGGCTGGGAACCCCACTTTGAGAACCGCTGCCTCATGTTAACAAACATCTTCAATGCCCAGAGCCTCAGCCAATCAGCCCTTACCTGCGGGACACCAGGTCCGCCCCACGCTTTTTCTCCATGAAGTTTCTAACTGTGTCACTTCCTTGGGGCCCACTCTCTTCACACCTTTTCAGGCTCCGCACAACAGGTGGTCAATAAACGCTTGACCTCCCAGCATGCACCAGGGAGAAGGGAGCAGGATTATGGCCGAGGGGCTCAGAGCTGGGCCCTGTCTCCAGCAGTGTTTACACTGCCTCCAGGGGAGCAGTGCTCACTGTGACCCAGCGCTCACCCAATCCCAAGGGGGCGCTGCCATCGCTCACAGAGCAGGAACCGGGCTCGGGCAGGGAAAGCCAGGGGCTCAAAAGGTCATCACTGGCGCCCTGGCCGGGTGGCTCGGTTGGTTGGAGCTTTGTCTGTACAACAAAAGATTGTGGGTTCGATCCCTGGTCAGAGT